CCAAGTCATGTGTGTAAGTACAGATCCCTGTAATCCCCCTACACTATAAATGAGCACTTCTCAATGCAAGTAAAATTAAAACAACTAGGAATGCTAGTTAAAATTTTACTTTCTGATTGATGCCTCTTGTAGCTCTTCCGTACTTGCACCTCTAACCTCACTGCATATCCTGTCTACACCCATAGCCAGTTCTCTTCTGAGTAAACAGCTTCAGTGGTTGGTCAAAGGCAGAGAAATGGCCCCGCCACAACATTTCTTTGTCAGTACAGCTGTTGCATGTGGCTTTGCTTGCTGTTTTGAATGCAAGTTGCCGTTACAAAGTGTTGTGAGACTAGAAAGACAGAGTAGCAGTCCCCAGAAAATGTTTTTGAGTATGCTATTTTTCAAACATTCTTGAAAGAATGTGAAGATACTTACAGCATAAAAACTCTGTGCTTATATTTGTTTTCTTATCTACAACTGTGGGAAGTGGTGGACAAACACAGTAGACAACTACTCTAAACCACTATTCCAACTCACGCAGGAACTCCCCGAGACATTTAAAACCGAATGTGTGATTTTAAAATGAATCTGCCATGTCCATTGATTTAACAATTGGGAAAAGTAAAAAGTGCCACATTCTGAAGTGACTCAATCATAACAATCAAGTTTAAATCTACCAATATGTTCCTAGGTGTGAAACTCACACTGAGGACCTCTACAGGAAACGACAGAGGAGGCTCAGGTCCTACAATGTATGGACTAGGCTGCTACCAGTTTGTTTGGCCAGTGTTACCTTCTTTGCTGTGGTGTGCTGAGGAGTGGCATTGGGACATGTGGTGCCAGCAAACTGGAAAAGCAGGTGAGGAACGCCAGCTCTGTGGTACTAGACATGGAATCATGGAACCCCTCTCATCCTCTCTATGCCGGGCACGTACAGTTACAGACTGACCAGCTACAGGGGTTGGACAATGAAACTGAGACGCCTCTCATTTTAGTGTGGGAGGTTTCATGGCTAAATTGGACCAGCCTGGTGGCCAATCTCCATTAATTGCACATTGAACCAATAAGAGCAGACTGTGAAGGTCCAATTAGCAGGGTAAGAGCACAGTTTTGCTCAAAATATTGCAATGCACACAACATTATGGGTGACATACCAGAGTTCAAAAGAGGACAAATTGTTGGTGCACGTCTTGCTGGCGCATCTGTGACCAAGACAGCAAGTCTTTGTGATGTATCAAGAGCCACGGTATCCAGGGTAATGTCAGCATACCACCAAGAAGGACGAACCACATCCAACAGGATTAACTGTGGACGCAAGAGGAAGCTGTCTGAAAGGGATGTTCGGGTGCTAACCCGGATTGTATCCAAAAAACATAAAACCACGGCTGCCCAAATCACGGCAGAATTAAATGTGCACCTCAACTCTCCTGTTTCCACCAAAACTGTCCGTCGGGAGCTCCACAGGGTCAATATACACGGCCGGGCTGCTATAGCCAAACCTTTGGTCACTCGTGCCAATGCCAAACGTCGGTTTCAATGGTGCAAGGAGCGCAAATCTTGGGATGTGGACAATGTGAAACATGTATTGTTCTCTGATGAGTCCGCCTTCACTGTTTTCCCCACATCCGGGAGAGTTACGGTGTGGAGAAGCCCCAAAGAAGCGTACCACCCAGACTGTTGCATGCCCAGAGTGAAGCATGGGGGTGGATCAGTGATGGTTTGGGCTGCCATATCATGGCATTCCCTTGGCCCCATACTTGTGCTAGATGGGCGCGTCACTGCCAAGGACTACTGAACCATTCTGGAGGACCATGTGCATCCAATGGTTCAAACATTGTATCCTGAAGGAGGTGTCGTGTATCAGGATGACAATGCACCAATACACACAGCAAGACTGGTGAAAGATTGGTTTGATGAACATGAAAGTGAAGTTGAACATCTCCCATGGCCTGCACAGTCACCAGATCTAAATATTATTGAGCCACTTTGGGGTGTTTTGGAGGAGCGAGTCAGGAAACATTTTCCTCCACCAGCATCACGTCGTGACCTGGCAACTATCCTGCAAGAAGAATGGCTTAAAATCCCTCTGACCACTGTGCAGGACTTGTATATGTCATTCCCAAGACGAATTGACGCTGTATTGGCCGCAAAAGGAGGCCCTACACCATACTAATAAATTATTGTGGTCTAAAACCAGGTGTTTCAGTTTCATTGTCCAATCCCTGTACATGCTTCAAAGTGTTTTGGGGACTCTATTCAGCTATCAGCCATCAGACATCAGAAAGCCACAGCACCCAGAACCTCCTATCTCCACTGATAGTGACTCAAAACCATACACTGCTCACAGATTAACTGTCACCACCACAGATGTTGTACATGTATATGTCATGATCCTGTCTGTGTCTTTTTAGGGAGTCTGGGTTTTTGTTCCATGTCTTTATTCCTAGTACTGTGCCTTAGTTCATGTTGTAGTATTTGCTTCTAGTTCTTTCTCTACATGGTTTTGGTTTAGTCTGCTCTGTACTCTGTGTTCTAGTTCTGTGTTCTCGTTTAGGTTTTTGTCTGTTATGATCCCTGTGTTACAGTTGGTCAGTGTTTGTCTGTTTACATGGGTTTCTATTATTGTCTGAAGTTAGATTGTTGTCTGGTATTTTGTAACGTGTTCTGTCTGTGTTGGTTATTAATTTTGCCCACTGTTGTCTCTGCCTGCCTGTCTCTCTGTTTTCCCTGCTGTCTCTCTGGCTGCCGCATTAAACTTGATCCCTGTCACCTGTGTTGCTCCCGCCCAGCTCGTTAGTCCCTGTGTATATATACCTGGTGTTTCTGTTTAGTCTTTGTCTGATCATTGCAGTGTATTGTAGTGTGTAGCTTGTAATGTGCAGTCCTGTGATGTCCTCTGTCTGCCTGTTTTTTTTACCAGTTTGATTATTTGTTCATTGGGATTGTTAATTTTACTTTGAATTCCTTGGACTCAGTCACTCTGCTTGTACGTGTGCTCGCCTTTTGTTTAATTAAATCTTTGAACTGAACCTTTCAGCCTTGTGTCCTGCATTTGGGTCCTCCAACCTGCTCACCCAACCATGAATCCTGACAGTATATAAACAGATACTGTATGAGTGTGTGTAGTGTAATGTATATATATTTTAGAAACACTGCACAAGTACACTAAACTGAACACTGAGACCAAACTTATATCAACCCATCATCTAATGGGTTTGGTAAATTTAGGGCTATGTAAATTATTTGCCTAACGGTGACAACAGGAGTCTGCGAAGTCACTGCACCTATGTTGTTCATTATAGCAGATAACTTTGCAGAAATGTACTAATTAAACAGTGCTAATTAGTGAGCTTTAGTTGTGGTTAGTAGGTGTATTTTTGGAAGAAGGCCAAGCCTTTGTTGTTTGTTTTTTATGTTGTCAGTTTATATATTGATATGTACACAATATTCTCTTCCGTTACGTTACTGCTGCATGGCACAGACCCAGAATAATGTACATGTGTATATATCTGCAACGTTGTTCTTCCATTCCATATTAATAAATACATTTATTTATGTCGACTGCATGTTTGTCTACGTGTAGCACCTTATCACCACAGCAAATTCCTCGTATGTGTAAAACACTACTTGGCAATAAAGCTCCTTCTGATTCTAGCAGTTTCCCCATTTCCACACTATATGCTAAGCAAAGCTAATTGCCATCTTGCTTCAGCTCAGTATTTAATCTCACAGACATAAGAATGGTATACATTTTCTCATCTAACTTTTAGAAGAGAATGAATAAGCTGAACTATAACTTTAAGATGCATGACATGGTAAGGAAACATTAATAGAACATGTGGAGTGTGTTGTTTAACTGTTTGACTTCCTTATATATATATATAAATCTCCATCGTCAATCCCAGCTGACAACAGGCGAAAGGTGGGGTACATCCTGGACAGCTCACCAATCCATCACATGGCCACACATAGACAAACAACCAGACACACTCACACCTAAGGACAATTTAGGGTCACCAATCAACCTAGTCCCCATGTCTTTGGACGGTGGGAGAAAGCCAGAGCACCTGGAGAGGACATGGGGAGAACATGCAAACTCCACAGAGAAAGGCCAGGGCAACCAGTTTTTTTGTTTGTTTGTTTTTGTTTTTTTGGCATAGTTGACAGTTGAGACAGACAGGAAATAGTAAGAGGGTATGAAGGGTATGACATGTAACAACAACCATGGCCGGAACTAGAGGCATTGGAGTTACACGGTATGCATCTTAAGCACTTGGCCACCAAGATGTCTGAAAGTGTCACCCCGAATCACTGATGCTGGGTGTGATGAGAGGTTCTAAGCTGTATTAACAAATGACAAAGGAAGCTGTCTTCACGTCACTCCTTCAAAACTCTCTCTCCCCCTCTCTCTCATTCACTATGCCCCTAACATCTTACTACGGATGTCTCTCTGAGTCTTCGAATTAGGTCACCGCGATCAGCTCAGCCAATCACAAAGTCAGTATTACACTTTAAATCTGTTCTCTCCTCTGCTGTCAGCTGTCATTTCAGTTGAATCACTTCACACAGGAAGAGAGCTGTTGTGAATAAAAATGTATCTAGACTATGCTGCTATTTGCAGTTTTGTAAAATTACAGTGATTACTAATCCCATTGATACCGAATGATTCTACAACCCTGGGTCACATTTAACGATGACCTTTACATTCAATACACATGTTGCAGCATCGCCCATGCAGGAAACTGAAAAAACAGGGACCACCAGACGTCAGTGGAGGCTACAACTACAAGCTATTTGTCTTTTGCTCCCTGAGGCTGTTCTTGATAAATGGTGGGGTTAGGTCAAACACTTGTGACACTTCGTCATTCGCCATTATAATTAGGAATAATATATAATCTATTTTTAGACTTACAATTCTTTACACCGAATGCAGTGTTAGTATAACAACAACAACAAAAAAACTAATACAAATACAGAACACCTGAATTTTCAGATGTGATCCTGGATTTGGTAAATTTAGGGCAATGTACATTGTTTGGGTTTCAGCCAATCACTAGGACTTCTCCTTTGTAAACCTTGTGACAAAATCTTCCACTTGTGTGGGAAGACATCAGTTGTGCAACAGAAGGTCGCTTTACCACGATGTACGGAAGATTGACTGCTTTGATTCTTACATTGTACACAACTACATTGTGTGAGGGCACTTTTTACTTTAACATGAGTACTATTGTAAACTGTAGTTTGTATGAAAAGATGGAAAATTTAATTGTTTTCATTGTTTTTTGTTCTGTTCTGTTGTTGAGTAATTCTGACATTGATTTTCTCTCTTCTTCAGCTCAAACCAGAGATGTTCCTGACCAGATCCCGTTGATTGTGGCTGAACTTGGTGATACTTTGAATCTGACATGCCCACTAACTGGAGATATAAGCGGGTTGTTTTACTGGTATAAGCTCAAGTCTGGATACATGGTCCAAACAGTTGCAGCAGGAACATATGACAAATTAACACTTGAGGGACAATTTGACAACTCAAGATTTACAGTCACAAGATGGGATCTTCAATATTTTCTTAACATCACAAATGTAACCAAAGAAGACGAAGGAACATACTTCTGTCAATCAGGAGCGGCATACCAAATGCAATTTATTAAGGGCATACTGCTGGCTGTAAATGGTAAAGTATGTCTTTTTGTCGTGTCTTTGTTTGCCATGTCTGTTATCAATGCCCAAATAATCCATTACTTAATTCCTGCCTATTTGTGAATCACATAGATTGTAAAAATCAGCAGAAATCTGTCTACGTGAAACAAAGTCCGGAGACTGAGTTAATTCAGCAGGGCAACACAATTGCTCTCCAGTGTTCACTTCTCTCCAAGAACGAAGGAAACCCAGGTCAATGTCCAACGGAACAAAGTGTGTACTGGTTCAGAGCTGGATCAGGAAAATCTTATCCAAGTGTTCTTTACACTCAGAGTCACGTTGATAAAGATGTTACCAGGAGTTGTGACTACAGATTGTCCAAAACTATCCAGAACTCCTCTGATGCTGGGACGTACTACTGTGCTGTGGTCACATGTGGAGAGATCCTGTTTGGTGAAGGAACTAAAGTGGAGACAAGTATGTTTTAAAGTCCTATTTAAATCGTAATGCAACTATACTGATAATTATTCTGTTACTTTCTAAGTACAGTGTTAATAATAGGAAAGAGAAACAAAAACATTCTTCTGCTCCATAAAATTATGTTTATTTTTAGGAAATGTATCTTTGGTTTGTCTTGTAAAATAATGGATAGTTTTATCTGTTCAGTCAGGTCAGAAAAATGATTTACAGTAGATCTGCTTGATGTGCTCACTTCTACAATTAACCTTTGATGAGCGATGGTGAGTTAGCTTCAAAGGGTCATAAGCCACAAAGGTTGCGGACCACTGAATTGGTTAGTATTTTCAGGCTGCTTGAGGTGGACTTGCAATGGCAACACCTATGTAATCCACCTGTAATACAGTCCTTTCATGTGGGGTTTGGCTGCCTCCACTCTTCCTGTCATTGTTCTATCTGTGTGTTTCCTTTGTGTGTCTGTTGCTGTTTTTTTCTCTCTATGGCCTCAACTGTCTTGTTAAAAACACCATTCAACATTCATAAAAAACCGCATCATCTAAATTAAAACAGAAACTAAATAAGAGTTTACATTTACACTTACATTACATTTACTCATTTGGCAACGCTTTCATCCAAAGTGACTTACATTTGAGGAACAAAAATCAAATACAGCATGAGAACTACAACTGACAATACATACTAGTAAGCGCCTGGTCCGGTTGTTTGGGCCTGGTGGATCGTGGTCTGCTGCTCCTTAATCCTTGACCCGCTCTACCAAACCCGAGCTCAAGCCACAGCCAATCCATTCAAAGTTCCTTGTAATAATATTCAAAGATCTGTTTTAATAGTCATGAAAAAATACATTAAATTTCAGTTAGTGGTAGTTAAGTGTCTCTTTGGGATTCTTTTTGTCATTCCAGGACAAGAACTGTGCCCATTCGTCATTGTGCTTGTGATATTGCTGACCGGATGTGTGATTGTGGTTATGACTGTAATTATCTCTAGAAATCAAAAGCCAGTCTGTAAACATTGCAAAGGTAGGTTTGCATGTGTGTATTATTTGATACATACAAGTCATGTGACATTGATCTATTTTTTAATAACTTTTTAGCTATTAATTACTTGCTCTCATTTACAGGAGAAGTAACTTTTTCCAATCATGCTGAAAATGACAGATCAGCTGAGAATCAAGCAAGGAATGTGGTAAATATAATTTAAATATCATTTTATCTATGACTACAATTTAATCATAATATATAGTTATTCAACATTGGATCCATGCCATTGATGGCAAAGTAAATGCTGATTTTCAGCATGTCTTTTTCTTATTTTGAATAAGAAGCAGCAAATGGGATGGGATAGCTGCTGTTGAGAGACGGGCAGGTAGTGCAGAGGGCAAAGTTGAAATTAATGACCTCAGAGCTAGAATGCATTTTTGTAATGGAACCAATCACAGTAGACCAGCGGTTCCCAAACATTTGAGGCAACGCACCCCCTTCTACATCTTGCTTGGTTTGCTTATAAGTAAAATAGATATATGTGTATATATATATATATATATATATATATATGTGTGTGTGTGTGTGTGTATATATATATATATATATATATATATATATATATATATATATCCACAGTTGACCTGTGTGCCGACTGTGCGGAGGGAGGTGGGGCGTATTTTCAAGACAAAAAAAATTTAACATTTCAACAACATTTCCGCTACTGTTTTTTTTTTACAAATCGCGCCCTGTTATAGCCTCATAAACAGATAACATGGAAAAAAAGAGGATCCATATGAGCATTTGTAAGTAGCCTACAGAACGGGTAGCTCAGCCTGAGAGAGAGAGGGAAGGGAGAGAGAGGGAAAGAGGTGTGTAAGCTAACTATTGATAATAACGTTTTTAATTTTAAATTAAATTTAGATAGGAAAATTTTTAATTCAGGTTTTTATGTCATGAAAAAACAATTGTTGTAGTTACCACCATTACATTTTTCCTGTCGCGCACCCCCTAGAGGCATCTCGCGCACCCCCAGGGGCGTGCACCACACTTCGGGAATTGCTGCACTAGACATCCAGTCCAAAGTCTTTGGCCCATGTCCTGCAGAAAAACACATATACCGTTTTTTCTATTCTGACATACACATCAACAGGATAATATCAAGGTTTTAAGAAATGTAACTGTTCTCTAATCTTACACAGCTGTGGTTAATGTTTGGTCAGTCTTAGACACTAGAACAACTTGGTTAGCGAAACTAAAACAAAATTGATTTGGTTAAGGTTAGGAGACCTTCATCATCATAGTTACAATAATAAACACTAGGTTAAGGTGATCGAACAATCTTGGTCATAGTTTAGAAAAAAACAATGTTGAAAAAGTAATCTGGGAGGAAATATGTTTCCTTCAAAACATATCTGTTGTTGCACATTAGTTGTTTATAAAGTACATTTCTAGAAGACAGGGTTGCCTCATCGATCTGCATCGTTGTGAACTGAAATGCTGCAGAAATAACAGTGGAAGTAAACCTTAAACTGCATTTGGATTATACAACAGCTCGATGAATCAGCCCACAGACATGAGTGAGTAGGTGTGAGAGGTGTTGGCAGTTTATGGCAGCCACGTTCTGTCTGTTTTTACCCTTCAACAAAACAACTGACCTACTGCTTAAAAACTGTTCCAGGTCAAATAGATTTCCTATTTGGTGAGAATATTAAACAGCAATCTTTAGAACCTTTATAGCAAATTATCGATTAACTGATTGTGGTATTACATCTCTAACATCTAACGATCATGATTATTATCTGCAGGATGGCGAAGCAGCGGCAATGAACTACGTAGTGCTGGATTTTCCCTCAAGACAAAATCAAAGATGGATGAATAAAAGGGACTTTCCACAGGACTGTATGTACTCTGGCATGGCAGACTAAAACAAGTGTTAGAATCAGCTTAATTGCCATGTAGGTTTACACATACAAGGTATTTGCTTGGGTGTCTTGGTGCCTAATATGAACATTATCACATGCCATAATGTTTATTCAGCTTTGATTACTGTTCAGGTGAATGAAATAAGATTTTCCAGTGTTGTTATTGTTAATTATCAGAGGGATCAGTTTAGTATAAAAACAGCATTTATGTTTTGTGACGTTGCCTGGTTGAACCAAGAATAGATATTTATCATAATTTTTATTATTCTTTTTGTTTTACCATTATTATTTTATTGATTATCAGATTGATCTTGAATAATCACTCAAAAACATGTATTGCCTTTAAACATATAAAGAAACAAAAATAAAATCCACATTCTTTATATTGTGATATTAGGCTGTTTTCAGTTTTACAAAGTGTGTGGCTTAAATTTGCTGGACCTGCCAAAACATTTAACTCTTATCTCTCTAATGAAGGCCCTTTCTCATTTCCCAAATTTCTGTCTCCTCGACTCCTTGATCCTCGAGCGTGTGACCCAGAAATCAAATGCACGATCAAACTTTCTGCCCTTCACCGCACTGTGTAGCGCCTCATAAGGCACTGTTCTAACCGCATTCCTTAATGTCATTTCACTTTGATATCACAGATGTTATTGTTGAATGTGATGTGTGGATGGGCAGCAGGGTTGTAAAAATTAACATTAAATAACGGCTGGATGAAGCGCCTCCCCAGTAACACTGTGCGCATTTACGCACGAGCCATGGCAACAGAAATGAATAATAAAAAATCTCCCGACACGCCGACAAGATCTCATGTTAATTCATGTTCTGTGTTCTTCTTCACATCCAAAGGATCTCACACACAGTCCAGGTTCATACATTAAGACTGTTTGGAGTAAATCAGCCGTCCTCCTGATCAACCCTGAGCTCCATCAGAGTCTAAATGTGGATTATAGAAACTGAAAGTTTAATTCTGTTTCCTCTTTCTGTCCTGTCAAGTTTATTACAACAGTTTTTTTCCCATTTTGTCTCGTGATATATGCTGTGACATTACTGCACGGATGGAAACATTTTGTAAAGGGAATGATGATGATACTCTCACCTCATCAGGCTGAGTGTTGAAATGATCTCCTGTTTACAGGCAAAAGGCGCATCGCAAACAAAGTAGTAGCCCACTGTGTAGCATAGCGAATGATGCTGCTGTAATCTGACTGTTTTCAACAGATGCTTTAATGTTTATTGGAATCTCGAGATGTTTGTTCGTGTTATAATGTTAACAGACATGTTTCTGGATTGTGAAGATATGATCTGTAGCCTTTAGTGCCAAATGCTGGTCTGCTGCTCTGACAGAGATAACAGCTCTTACAGTTGACGTTGCTTTAAAATGACGCTCCGAGGAAAGGACATCTCATTTCGTTAAATGCCCGTTTCCTCGACTCCTCGAGCTCGCATCTTTGGTGGGAGGGACTAACATGCGCCGTGAGGAGTCGAGGAGGTGGAATTTTGGGTAATGAGAAAGGCAGGAATCTGTGTGTTTGTGTGTGTGCCTGTTTGTATAATGATTAAGTCAAGAACTGTTCATCCAGTTGACATCAAATGTGGCGGGTGCGTTGCTTCGCACACCTGACCTTCGCTCACAACAGCAGTGAACGTAATGCTCCAGTTTACATCCTGGGGAAAAGACAATGAAGACCTCAGGTTTGTGGGAGCACTTTAAATTAAGTGATGACAACGGCAGTGTGGAAGGTCTATCTCACACAATCTCACACGCAATGACGTTACATTTGTGTATCTGTTTCGGCATATTTTATGTTTTAAGCTTCTGTTGTATACATTGTAGTGAACAACGGTGTGGATTTGTGCATTTTACATTGAATAAATTTGGAGCTACCCTAAATTCCTTTCTCCTCCCCAGAGAAGAAGGGGAGGGGTCAAAGTTGCTTTCTCTAAGTGCTATCCCGACCATAAAACTGGCACCCTTTTGATTCCGAAGCTGATAAGGCGGGGCCTGACTGTTGGACTGACAAAGAGACACGAACCAGCCATTGGCATTTCCCTAAACAGCCTATCAAAACTGGCCCCCCCACACACATTTCCATGGCAACTGACCTTATTCTTTGTTTTATTACCACATCAAAAAGGAAAACCCCTGTCTCACCCAAGTGTGACATGGTCCAGACACTGAACTTTGGATGACAAAGGACTGCAGTCTCCAAAGACTCAAAGCATCTAATTAAGTTAATTAAATCTTTAGTTACCTGAATACGTTTGCCTCTATTTGAGTAGTTATGTTAACTGTTGTTGCTATCTGTTGTTGATATTAGTGCTGAAAAGAAGTTAATTGTGCAGTGTTTTTATTTTCAGCAAGACACTCCTTCATCTGATGTAATCAATGCTTGTTCATAATACTTTCTTACAAAATCCCTTTAGAAATGATGACAAAGAAATGTTTTACTATACTCTTAATCGCCAGCTTGAATTTAAGGATGAATCAACAAATTCCCCGGTTCCTAAGGAGAGACGATCTTTGATTTAATCCAAGCTTTCCTCATGTAACCTGAGCTCCCCCAAGTGGACAAAATAATATTACATGCCCTCATCGGAAATGCCGTTAAATGTATAAATATCCTGACCAATAATGTGACAATTGTTTCCTGTTACCAAATGCTTAGAACAGTACATCCGTTCGACCATTGAGGTTCGATTGTGGAAAATGTTTGATTATAAGACGTGCAAATAGATTTCTTTTAGACATTAAGTTTAGAAAGGCAGTCCCTTGGGAAACCTGAGACGCCCCCTGGGGAACCACGCCCCAGGCAACAAAAGAGCGACACGCGACCTCGCTTCGCTCTCTTCTCTTCGCTGTTGGCTCTTCCACCCTGCTCGGCCCTCTGGACGCTTCGGCACGTGCAGCGTGCCTCGCCAGGCAACGCCCAGACTTGGCCAGCGAAACAAACAGGCCCTTTTGTTCGCCTGAAGCTATACACCTGAAGTGCCGCGACATCGATCTGCCTTCAGTTTGTTTTATTTTCTTTATTTCTTTTGTTTGTTAAAGTTATGAGTCCGTTAAGTTACACTGGACTAATTCAGGAACGACCAAGTTCTATTTTAAGCCTTTTTCGTCGAGCCAACTTCACCGAGGTCAGACCAAGCCACGTGGTCTCGCCAGCTACAACGAAGGAAACCTGCAAACAGCCGAATTGCCAGATGGAGGAGGCGTTTTCAATCGGACACGGAGAACCCCGGAGAATCCCTAGCAAAAAGCCAGGATCGGCAGCTAGCGTGGGACCAGCAACAGGCCAAAAGCGGGCTGTCGACAAGTAGTAAGACTTAACACACGTTCTGTGATCAGATGTCCATTTTAACTCCTAAATTATAGCTATTATATATTAGTTTACTTTCATTAGCTCTTCTATGCCGTACGAGTCAAATGCTTCCCACAACCGAACCTCCAGGCTCATTGTTCAGCAAATGTTTATGTTCCCTGTATCCAACCATCTTTTTATCACCTTAGTTAGAGAATAAATTCACTGTAATATAATCAAGAGCTGTGTTTGTTGCCTATTTCTAGTTCCTGCCAAGAGAATTGACCCTTTAGATATGAGACTGACTGACTGATTTAAGATAATTGAGCGATTATTAACTAACTGATCACTAGTAATAATTGTATAATACAAACAGAGTTTGCTCAAATGTTCCACTGTAAAACTGACCTTCCGACTTGTCACTCTTTGACAATGTTTGGCGCATTATCAAATGTGAAATACGACAAAGACCCCGAACTGTTGAGCAGCTGAATTCCTACATCAAGCAAGAATGGGAAAACATCTTTTATGATAACAGCAGTTGGTTTTCCCAGTTCAAGTAGCTTAGAGGGTGTTGTTACAGTTTTTGTTACTATTTTCAGAACCTTAATGTCATTTTTCACTACTCTAGACACAAAACAGTTATCACTTGTAACACAGGCTGTCTAATGTTCAAAACATTGCATTGTGCATCTTTAAAGAAATCTTGCACTTGCACAATCATTGGTTCAAAAAACAAATTTACTGTGAAATACCATTGAAACATAACTATAGATCACCCACACACAAGCAACAATACACAAGCAATAGTTTCACTGTGTCATTGTTCGTACAATCATTAAATATTGTAGAACAAAATAGGTGATACAGGTTTCATTATGGAACTACATGTACAGTAAATACATCTCTGTAAAAGTACTGCAGTAGTAGAGAGAATACTACAGACACAGTGGAACCGTTGAACAAAGTTTGTAATATATTGATGCAAAACACTACAGTACAATCACAACATAGGTTTATTTGAATCAAAGCAAATATAATTACCTATGAAATCGCATTAAGGAAGGGAGAGTATGGGGGTAAATCCAGGGTGGACAATTGTGCATGGGCCTGAAACCATTGTCTCACACAATGACATAGGTCACACCTTCAGCTCTATAAACCTGATTGAGCTCATCAAGAAAGGTGACAAGGAGAGCTGCATTATATGGTCCAATATGAGTTCTGCGTCCCACCACACTATCTTCTGATATAACCGCACACATGGTAATATTGGCCCCACTTTGTCCAGGTACTTGGATGGCTGCCCTCTGGCCAATGAAATTCCAACCTCTCCTCCTTGTCTTGGCCAGATTAAAACCTGCCTCATCCAAATATATGAATTTGTGATGGTCGTCATCATCATCCAGCTCCATCACCCTCTAAAAATACATTTTGGAAAGAGATTTAGAGATTACTGTACAATGTAGAATTTTTGGGAATGTTTTTACAACAGCCGTCTTGAAACTGAACTTACAGTTGAACAGTTGTTTTATAGATACCTGGTGCCTTTTCAGTATGCGTGCAATAGTCGGCAAACTTATGGATCCCACATTGTGTCCCACATCCCACATGTCTTCATTGTCCAAGATATGCTGTATGTTTGTTGGTCAGTTAGAATTTTACCACGGTTGACCTTCTGAGGTTTGGTTGTATCATTGTAGCCGCCTCAGTCACTGTCATGCCATAATTTATGACATGGTCTACAACTATTGCCCAATTTCATTGGACACTCTATGCTGCCGCTGTCTTGGTCCGTGGCCTTGTCCTCTACCACGTTCCCCCACACCTCTCAAACGAGGACCCTGCCATTCCTTTGACCAACACGTCTTCCTCCCACCACTGCTCGACCTCCATTGTGACCTGGATCACCTGCTGGCTCCATGTTACGTATCACTATGCTCTTGCAATTGGATCCCAATCAACTCTTTATATACTCATTCCACAATGTGGGAGATGCAACAGAGAGGTAAACATGACTGTGTCCCAACTTTTTTTGAAACGTGTTGCTGGCATGATATTCAAAATGGGCTTATCATTTTTCAAAAACAATAACATTTCTCAATTTCATCATATAAATAGTTGTCTTTGTGCTATTTTTAATTAAATATGGGGTTTCAGAATTTTGCACATCATCTCATTGTTTTTCTATTTACATTATAGTGTGCTACCTTTTTTGAAAATGGGGTTGTAAAAGAAAGCAGTAGAGCAAAGAGAATGCAGTTATTTTGCTCTCTCTTTTTTAACTGCACTGGTAAGTGCAGAGGTAAGTTACCCCTACCTGGGAAACTGAAGTATAGAGTATTACCATGATTAGGATTACTGTTTAAAACATGACTCAAAGATTCCAAACTTATTTAAACAAACCAATATGCAAGTGGTACACAGTTACCTTGAGTTTGTTACTTTTTGTGTTGCCAAAATGCTGGATGGTTGTTGTGCTTTCGGATTTACTAATCCAGGAGACAAGCCTGTGTTAGATGAGGGATTCCCCAGAAAGATAAAAGTAAATATTACTGCAGTCCGAGCGGTGGCAGGGACCTGGTGGTTTTTTACAATAGAAATGCGGCAGTGGATGCTGTAACGTTATTCGGATCAGATATGCCCAACACTTACAGTTTGTGTTCTTTTTCTTAAGTTGAAAGGTGATCCAAATACATTTTGACTGCTTTTGCAGCATCTGTATGGGGGAGTTGCGGTGTGTGCTGCTATGTTGGTCCGTTGTTTTGCCCTCCAGGTCAACGTGTATGTCGCATGACTAAAAACTATTTCCTGTCTGAAACACACTTTACATTCTTCTTTCATTGTTTGTCAAAGGAAACAAAAAAACTAATGTTTAGAAACGGAAGTTGCCATAAGCTGGAATAATTGATTGTCTTGGCCTACAGACATTTGCATTAACGTGGTGAATGTAACATTCACTCTTCTTTAAATTACTTTTCCTGTTACAAAATTGATACTGGATCATACAGATAATGTGTGGGCTGTAAACCCAAACAACTAGCTAAAAGAGGCTACAATGCTCTATACAGCTAGCTATTTGGGTAATATTATCTTTATAGGTTTATCATTGCACCCATTTCATTTGACATAATTCATTTTAGATTTACATTAAAAAAATTCATGAAACATTACCCAACTGATAACCTCTTAAAGCTCTTAGTTCATGAAAAGTATTGACATTTCTTAAATTGAAATGTACAAATATTATTAATTTGTTTCAAGTATTAAAATCACATTTACTAATTTTCAAGATAATAATTTGATCTGGTTCATGTTTTTAAGGAAAAGAGTTTTTTGTCTTTGGTTTTATCTTTTGAACAGACTCAGCGCTCTAATCTATAGACACACTAAAATGATATATAGGTGAATGTTTTAGCAGATTTCTCCTTTAGTCTGCTCTTCTTTCTCTCTGTCTGGTTGTTTGCATTCACATGTGGGTTGCAACCATTTGCACATGGAAAACTTTTGAGCCGTATCAACATTATAAACAGTATCAACATTTAACTTGAGAGTACACACTGTCCTCAGCAAAGTCTCTTTTCTTTTTTCCTCTTGTTTTTTTCTCTGAGAAATTCAGTGCAGCGTAGTTCAATTTGTCGTCACCGTCAGTCTGTGCAGAAAATAATAATGTTATATATATATATATATATACAGTATATATATGCAGCATGGTCCAAATACACTTACAATACGGAATGGAATAACAATAAATTAACTTGGTATTATCACTTACAATGTCATGTTCTGGTTGGCACGGGTGTTCATGTTGTGCTTCTGAAACAGCACTTTCCATTCCTAAAGATGAATATGATAATAAATATATAATAGATAAATGCACTGAATCTGATTTTTCAGTAGGAGTATACTGTTATAAAATCCTAAAGGTGGAAATTAATAAATTAGTCAGATAAAATATAGAGATTGAGTTTAATGAGGTGCACAAAAGAACAACAAGCACTATAGAGACATAGATGTTTTTCTTTAGAATGTATGCTATTATTAATAAACTCATTAATAATATAAAAAATTACTGATAATTCTACTCTGGAACCTGCATTGCAAAGTTTGTTTGATCTTGTGCATAATATGCATAAATGCATTTGAATCTTATATGTCAATGTAACCACGGAACTTTTTCATTGTTCACAACACTTACCTTCACATTGTTGATGTACTTTTTGTTTGCAGATGAGGACAACATTTCCAACAGCAGAAATGACCAAGCAGACAATTAATATCGCCATTGCAATGAATACTGAATGTGCTGTTTGCACTAGAAAACAAACAAAGACAATCATAATGTCATCAACACATTTTTAAAATTGCTTCCATTATTGAACACCAAGTCATACCAATTTCCACTTTAGTGCCATCTCCCAAAAATATCTCTCCACATGTGGCCACAGCACAGTAGTAAGTCCCAGCATCAGAGGAGCTGACGTTCTTAGAGAAGCGATAAACACAGCTTTTCTGAGAGTCAGATCTCTTGTCACATTCATCATGTCCATTTCCATCAGTGTAGATGATCTCTGGATGAGATTTATCTGATCCGGCTCTGAACCAGTACACACTGTGATCTCCTGGACACGTCTTATTGTCAGAGTCAGAGAGGACTAAACACTGGAGATTCATCAATTCTCCTGGACGGTATGGATCAGATACTGTTGTCCCCTTAATGACAGTATAGTTTGATGTCCTCTGAGTGTTTCCTGCGCGATACAAAACTGTTAAAAATTTGATCTCCAAAAAATTTTTCAAAGCTTAAGAACCACAGACATAGAATATAGCTCATTTCACATGCTTAATGAAAGTTTAAAACTTTGTTAAAGTAGATCACATTATTACCTTTTACTAACAGATATGTTCCACTCCATTCAGGATTAATCCAGGCTGTTACTGCACAGTGATACATTCCCTCATCCTCTTGAATTGTCCTCAAAATGGTCAGGTTGCTAATATTCTTATCAGTATTTACCTTTAATCTTGATTCAGAAAACTCTGGTGCATACTCAGGTTTTGCAGATTTCCACAGTGTCATAATTAATTTCAGAGTATCCCCGGCACGCTGCTTGTACCAGTGGAGTTTTCTACTGCTCAGCTCTTCATTAGGCAAAACACACGTGAAGGTCGCAGAGTCACCGAGTTGAACAGTGGTCACTGGAACCAATGTATCTGAATGAAATGAAAATACACAATAAATAAAATAATAGTTAGTCTATGCTGTGGAAAAGTTATAATGCATATTATCATTTCAATTTCTAAAATGACATAATAAAATACCACTTACAACCTTGATGAAGAACAAACAGTGTAACCCATAACAGGATCATCTTGACATTGTCTCTTGTTAAGAAACTTAACAGTTTCAGTGAGTGAAGGAGGTGAGATGGTCGTGATACATCAGACCATCAAATACATCTGATTGGTTATCACAGAATATGCAAAGTACACTTCCTGTCACATTGGTCTCATCCTTGTGTTTGTGCATATTACCTACTGAACTATACAGAAAATGTAAACTCAAACAACTAGATATTTGGGTAATATTTTATAGTTTTATCATTGCATCCATTTCATTTAACATTATGTTAATTTTAGATTTACATGAAAAAAAAATCCTCTCATTAAACATAACACAACCCTCTTATATGCAGTTTCATAACATTTTTTAAATTGAAATGTACAAATATTATTAATTTGTTTCAAGTATTAAAGGTTCTTTGTGTGCATACACTGTCACATTGTCTCATCCTGGTTTTTGTGCATATTGCCTCACTTTTTTTTAACAAATGTCTTCTCTGAGTGATTTTTTTGATTAGAGAGATAGAGGTGTGGTCTTGTTTTTGAACCTTAGTTATAAAAACTTCATTTATACCTCTACTCAGAACTGTGTGTACAAACTGTACTTGACCTATGCTCACCTTTGTGTTGGTTTTGTCTCACCTGTCAGCGCAGGACAGCATTCACCATAATCATGCTTACTACTATATCAAGTTAGATGACATCATGTAATTTCCAGCTTAGCACCCAACTTTCATGTGCATATCTTTGTAATTGGCCAGGGTACTTGAAATCACCTGTGTGTTGCTTTCTAAAGTGAGATGCAGACTCACAGAGAAAGAGAGAGAGAGGAGAGAGAGCTTAAACGTCTCCATGCATGCAGTAAAGTCACAGCAAATATAGTGATACATCTAATCAGCAAAACTAAAAACTTTAGTTATAGACTTGACAGGACAGACTGAAGAAAGTCTCCAGAGGGAACACAATTCAATTTTTAGCTTCTGAATTTTTTCTAAGACAGTTCTGATGGAGCGCAGGGTTTATCAGGAGGACAGTTGCTTTACTCTAAACTATTTCACTGTATGACCTCTAGGATGTGTAGAAGAACACAGAACATTAATTAACATTAGATTAGGTTAGGGGTATAATCAAATTTGATCAAAACATTATTTTCTGCTCTCTAATTACATCACTGCCATCCTATGTTGAAAATGAGATGATAAAAAGAAGATAAGGTTTACAGTACAACCACGGTCTTAAATTACGAGTAAAATCATCAGTCCATCTGCCACTTTGGCAGATACGAAAAACGCACAACAAAAAGTCTCGTGAGGTTAGCACATTGTGGCAATCATCCCTGCACACACCCAGAAATATTTACCATATAATATATATATAAGCAGCTGGTTAGCTTACCAGCAGCCTACCGGCCTGACTACAGGAGGTAACTCCAGTGGTGTCAGAGAAGTTTGTCTATTAGATGCAAGAGTAGTCACTAGGTTTCATTTTTGTTGGACAACTTCTGTATTGAAATTCAAACTGAGTATTTTTTATTCAGTTAGCTGTAAACCCAAAGGTGAGGACTTTGTTGAGATATGGATTGAGATTTAAAATGAACTGTAGATTTTGTATTTAGCCTCGTCTGTAATACGCTGTGGTGAACCTCAAGTTCTTGTGTGCTTTGTGTTTCTTGTCAGTGGTACCTCTGAAATACCTGGTTGGTAGTGAGGTGGACTGCACCACTCTCCCAGTATCCCAGGAACACAGTCAACTGGAAGTGATTAAGATTTTCTAACCTGCATATTTTTATCTGAAGAATATAATTTAGAACAGCCCAGTGTAAATTCAGTAATAGTAACAGTAATAGTAGCAGTAAATTCTTTCATGTACTTTCAGCTGTATTTAATACTACAATTGTTGCTGGAGTTTTGACTCATACACATACTACACAAAACAAAAGTCCTCCAGTACTTTCATGTACATTTGTTGCTGTGTACTTTCTCACACACACACACACACACACACACACATACAGACATTAAATGGACAGAAATAAACATGCATTCACAGTGACAAACAAATGGTGCATGGAAACTTAAGCATTGTTGTGGTTGGGCTTCAAACCAAGGTGTTAAGAAAGAGCAGCTTTCCTTCCTTCTCTTTTTTTGGCCTCAGAAAGTTTGGTTTGAGTGATGTTTTACCTGTTTTAAGAAGGCAAGAAGAACAACACTACATCACTAATTATTATCAATATATACTGTAGTGTCTAGTAGTTTAAGGGTACAGGAGGTTAGACACACACACACCTACCCATGCTAAGTCATGACTGTGTTTACTGAAGTTTTCTGTGGCTTTTTTCTTGGTAGTAGTTGTGTGTGTATGTGTGTGTGTGTGTGTGTGTGTGTGCAAATTAAAACAAAGATTGCAAATGTATACGGGTATAGATTTGAATGCATATTTGTTGTAGGTTTCGCATTATATACGTATACAACAACAACTTTAAATGAGCATGTTAACAGTCAATAAAAACTAAATCAATCAATTTGTTCAACTTAAATTGACCTGCTGAAGCCTTGTGCAGCTCTTCCCTCACTACATATCCTGTTGAAGTACATAGTCAGGTCTGTTCTGAGTAAATAGCCTTGATGGTTGATCAAATGTGGCGAAATGGCCAACCGCAGCCTGTCTGTTAGTGTAGCTGCTGCATGTGGTTTTACTTGTGCAGACATGTAAAAGGCCTTTATAAAGTACTGCGAGACCAGAAAGATGGAGTGGGGTTATTAATTTGAGTAGTTATTGTCTAATATTGTTTACATAGTATATTTTATTTAACATGTTTTCTAACAGGGGCGGCACGGTGGTGCGGTGGTTAGCACTGTCGCCTCACAGCTTAGAAGGTCGTGGGTTCAAACCCCAATCCCTGTGTGGAGTTTGCATGTTCTCCCCGTGTCTGCATGGGTTCTCTCCGGGTACTCACTGTCCAAAGACATGCAGTCTAGGTTAATTGGCGACCCTAAATTGTCCTTGGTTGTGAGTGGTTGTTCATCTATGTGTGGCCTTGCGATGGACTGGCGACCTGTCCAGGGTGTACCCCGCCTTGCGCCCAGTGTCAGCTGGGATTGGCTCCAGCCCCCCTGTGACCCTGTATGCAGGATAAGCGGTTGACGATGGATGGATGTTTTCTAACAGATATTTTAAAAAATTGTGTCTACAACATGAAATGCTCTATGCATATTTTTGTTTGTCATGCTGCTGAGATGGAGATGTATCATGGTTAGCAGTGGTTGACAAATATATAGCAGTTCTATGAAGGTTACGATATGGTAACCCTAGTTCTATAAGCACAGGTGAAGCCCTCTACTGGACTCTATGGGTACTACCTCCTCCAATCACACGCAAGCACTTGCCCACTGAAATTTTATCAAGAGAACGAGAGAAAGAGATGTCGGCAGGGTGGCGTGTCTGTTTATGTAACACGATTTCACTGACCATGAGCTAGCAACGTGCCCGTGCGAGTCCTTGTGGGCACGCTGGGAATGCAGAGTTAGAGTAGACTGCTGCATTGCCCAGTTTCCACGGTAAGAACAGTTTGTTTCTGGGCTGTCATTTCGTGGCAGCGGAATTCCCGACTACATCCGTGGAGGTGGTGAATTCAGTGAGCAGTTCGCCGTTTGTGGCAGTAGGGAAACTGCTATTTATACGTCACGCACGTATCAGTAGCGACTACCTATTGGTCGGCTACGTGCACGATAAAATTTTAGTGGGCGAGTGCGTGCGTGTGATTGGAGGAGGTAGTACCCATATAGTCCAGTAGAGGGCGGCGCCTGTGTGAGATAGAACCACTGATTGTCTATTAGTCTCTCTCTCTTTGTGTCTCAAAGTTAGAAAAATGTTTCTTCACAGCAGACGTTTAAATCTGTACAAGATGGGCCGACTTGTTTCAAGGGGAGAAAAAAAGGTGATGCTAACCAAGTAAACACTCAGTCAGTGAAATCCATAAAGTGTATCATGGTCTTATGTTGGATGCCAATATATCATGGATTATAATAAAATTGCAAATTCCAGTTTTGTATGGGTTATACACACACTTGCTCTACTGTAGCTGTAGCTGCATGTAACCTTCCCTAGCACAAACTCTTAACACAAAGACTTAATTGCAGAAATGCCCAGAGGGGCTTATGTAGTTTTCAGCGGCCACTAACAGTGTGGTTTTAGATCGCAACCTGGTATTTGCTCATACGCATGCGTGATCTTATGATCAAGAAATATCCGATACACTGGGAGATAGCTTCACACAACATGGTGGAAACTAATGTAAACTCCCACAGCAACATTACAGTAATAATTTTATCAGCTTGACATTGAAATAATCCATGCTTGTTGCATGATAACATTACATTGACAGCATTTAGCTGATGCCACTTTTCAGCAACTATTTGTGTATTTTTCAAAGGAGGCTCAACAATGTGAGCACAGCTAAATGTATTGGATAATTACCAAAGTGGTGAGTTACATTGACTATTATAAATGAGTTATCAGTAAGCTGCAGTTAGTAACATTACTGTAGTGAATCCACTGACATGACATCCACTGTGGGGTTGTCCTGTTATGTTTCAATATTGTACATTATGTGGGTCACGTTAGTTACAGCAACTGAGACAGTGAAGAAGATGTGTACCTGAGTATTGGTAAAAAGACAATGACAGCGGTGGAACCATGCTAATGTAGCTGGTTGCCCCTGACTTGCATCACTATAGACTAGTAAACAAATAGTTCCACATTTGCTTTGTACCACTGCATCATTTCTTACAGGCTAAATCAACATTTTCACATAATACCAGTACTATACAGTATTATATGGATCGTGTTAGCTGGTGGAGTATGTGACAAGCCATTCTACTGTTGTATTTTGCACCAAATAATCTTAGCACCTGGTCAGCTTAAGCCGGCAAGCTAATGTTATCTAACTTGAGCCAACTAAAGACAAAAAGATTTCACTTGTTTGCAGTAATGTTAGTTTAGCTGTCAAAAATGATTTTTTGGTTTTGTCGGTTCCAAGTAGGCATGGACCATTTCCGGTTTCAAGGTATCCAATGGGATGAAAAAGTCAAGGTTATAAAAGCACAAAAATTTTTGAGCAGTTTTTTATGTCAAGAACAGGAATCCCACAGATTGTGTGCAGCGTAGAGAGTAACACGAACCCTTCCCCTCCGGTTGGTTTGAGCAGTCAGTCTAGGATGGCCGAAGGTGGGGAACCCCTGAACATTTTTCCCTGTCTGTTTTTTCCATCTAGGGGAGCCCCACCCTCTTCGCTAACATCAACGTAACACTATCTTCAAATGAAGTGCTAAAAGTCACACTTAAGTGTGATTTAAAAGACTAGATGGGTTATGGCGCTGTTCAATGTAATGAATTTTGCTAAGGTCAGGAGATATAAATTTACTACTGATGACTGAGACATTACATAAAAGAAAATTAGAGGTTAAGCACTTCTTCTTCTTTTTCCAGTGCTGAAGTTACAGCCCTTTGTCATTAACCCAAATAAGTTTATATTGTTTGCAGGATGAAACAGATTACAACACCCAGCAACACCTCTCTCTACGGGCAGTCACAGCCTGTGCACTGCCTCCCACTGCTGATTTTGTAGGAGAGTATAAGCATTTCAGTTACTTTGGTAATTAAACACATGTGCCAGTATTTCTGTAAGATAATGATAGATGTCGTTAACATGTTAATAACTGACACGCAACAAAAACATTCAAGGAAAAACAACATACTTAAATTCTAAATATGTTTACTCACAACAGCTTAATGGCCATATAGTTTCTTTCTCCAAACAAGATTCATTCATGATGATGCAATATACTTATTTTCACTTACTCTGATCTGAATTTCTCTCTCCTGATACCAGTTTCATTGCAGGGTACTGGCTGATACTGAGTACAGATCCAAATTATTATATGGATCAAATTATGTTAATCTAGTATACAAGATTATTTAACTCCAATTTAAAATCTGTAAACCTCTTTATATTTGGTTCACCAGTACTGATTCAATGGATTGGACAGGTTTAACGATGTATCCCTATTTCCTTACTTGGTCTTTCATTTTGACTACAGTAGTTTTTCCTCAAATGGATTTTACTAACCATCACGTTTGCCTTTAACTTTTAGTGGTAAAAAACAACAATATCCATTTTAACATTAAAAATTTTACTTTGTGTATTTCTGGACATTTTTAACCTTTATTACAGACAGTAGAAACATGACAGGAAATGTTGGACAAAGATGCAACAAAGATCTCCAGGCAGACTTAGTTTATATTCGGCATCTTAACCACTAAGCCACAGGGGCGCCCCTCCCATGTGTTCATATTTGCATGAAAAAGACACAATCTATCTATGTTTAAACATATAGAAAAAACATATATACAACATTAAAAACTATAAACAGTATAACGTGTACAATACTGCCTTAAAGCCATAGGCAGTATAACAAACCCTTTCGCTCCTTACAGACTAACATTAACTGGATCATACAGCACCAACTGATGACAAACACACCTGTTAACTCTCTAATCCAACCCAAAAGCCTTGACAGCAGCATAGATCCCCTGTCTCTCCGCTGCTTTTGCATCCTTTATTGCACCATCAGCTTTCATCATGCCGAAGACGACAGCAGAATAAATCCATGTCTCCTCATCTCTCTGAGAAAATACATGAGATGGCAAATTTAAAAAGCTTCATAACTAGTTTAATAAGATTAATCCCAACTTTAAAATCCTTACCTGTTGTGTTTTCTGATAACCACTGTTTTGTTCCAGGATGACAGCGGCTGGATTTTGAGAAAGAAAATATATCGACATAAAAAGGATTCAGTAGTTTTAATTTAGTTTTAATTTAATAGAGAACTATGAGTAACTTCTATTACCGTTCCCACAATCCCTATTTTTTGTATTCATGTTGTAAGTGAGGAAGGCTATAACAATCAGACTTATAGCCAAGACAGCACACAGCAGGAAAAGAATTGCACTGGCCTTCTGTGACCAAAAACTGGCTCCTGGAACATTATCACAGGAAATAATGAAAGTTACCAATGAATCAAAGTAAATTACTTTTACTATTCCGTTGTGGTAAAATTGTTTTGTGTGTTAAGAAATTCAATAATTTCCTAATCAACTGAACAATAAAACAGTTACCTTGACTGTCCACTTTAGTTCCATCTCCAAATAATATCTCTCCACATGCGGCCACAGCACAGTAGTAAGTCCCAGCATCAGAGGAGCTGACGTTCTTAGAGAAGTGATAAACACAGCTTTTCTGAGAGTCAGATCTCTTGTCACATTCATCATGTCCATTTCCATCAGTGTAAATGATGTCTGGATGAGATTTATCTGATCCGGCTCTGAACCAGTACACACTGTGATCTCCTGGACACGTCTTATTCTCAGATTCAGAGAGGACTGAACACTGGAGAGTCATCGAGTCTCCTGGACAGTCTGGATCAGATATTGTCTGTCCCTGAATGACAGTATAGTTTGTTGTCCTCTGAGTTTTTCCTGCATAGTACAAAAATAATTTAAATACATCCCATAGTGACTTTAATAGTTTCACATCATATTCTGCTGAAATCTAGAAAATGGTGATTTGTTTAATCCAGTACAAGTATTCCCAGAATAAAATTTGATTGTTGGAACATTGATTGGAGCTACAATATAGACAAAGCAGATAAACTATTAAGACAATACAACTGGTGGCCTGTCAGTCAATCAGTGGGTGAAGTAATTGCAAACATTTTGGAATAAATAGATGAACTTTTTCTGAAAATCTATATGTAACTGGATGGCAATTTTGTGATTTTTCAAAACAGGCCTGCAATACTAAAAGTTCTTATTTTTTAACATTAACACAGTGCAGCTTGAAATCAGTGTCTGAAGCATCTGCAAAACTTAATAATAGTAGATCACATGATTACCTTTTAGTAACAAATATGTCCCACTCCATTCAGGATTTGCAGTCCACTCTGCTATTTCACAGTGATACATTCCTTCATCTTCTTGGATTGTCCACAGAATGGTTAAGTTGAAATAATTGTTTAAATTGTTTACACTGAATCTCGATTCAGAAAACTCCGGTGCATACTCGGGTTCCTGGGATTTCCGCATTGTCACAATTAATTTCAGAGTATCCCCAGCACTTTGCTTATACCATAGGAGTTTTCTATGGCTGATCTCAGTAATAGGCAGAGCGCAGAGGAAGGTTACAGGTTCACCAAGTTGAACTGTGGTCACTGGAACCAGCGTATCTGAATTAAATTAAATTATACAATACATTGAAATGTAAATGACATGACATTTAATGTAAACATGTTAGGATGGAAAAAGATACATCAACCACCATACATTATACATAATTTGCATGCAGATACAGATAAATGACAAAATATTTAGTAATTATTACATATAACTTACATCCTTGATGAAGAAGCAGTGTAACCCAAAACAGGATCATCTTGACACTGTCTTGTCTCTTGTTTGGGGACTTTGTGATTTTGTGAGTGAAGGCGGTGACATGACCGTGATAGGGCAGACCATCACATGCATCTGATTGGTTATCACAGGATATACAATCAAAGAGCATTTCATGCTACACTGGTCTTGTCCTGGTCTATGTAAACCTTATTATCTCTCAATCTTATCCATTCACTAAACTATTTGATGTTAAAACAGAATCATATTTTTCTGAATGTCTGGAGCTTTTTAACATTTCTTCAACATGCAATGGTTTTCATTTTTGGAAGGGTACATCCCATGTCTCGTCTCTGATTTTTCTGTGCTCGAACCGGAAGTCGTTCTGGTCTGCCTTCTTGCAAGCTGTCCCAGAGATCTTATTTCTGCTCCAAGGAGCGAACGAGAATCCATGAGTGAGGATACTCAAGAGCAGTCATCACAGAAGTCTTTTACTGGCCAACATTCCTCAGTGGATGTCAGTTATTGACTGGACGTTGCAGCTGTTCAGATTGATCTGAAATCACAGCATTACTTGAGTTTAATGCCGGAGTGAAGACAGAAAACAGATCAAACTCAAACTCAAAGAGAAAGATTCCCTGCTGACTGGCTTTATGGATGTGGCTTCAGTACAAGCCAAACAGATTGTTTCTCTTAGCGCAACCGCTAACATCCAGGACACCGTGTTTTGGGACCCCTTTAGCCTTCCCAGGCTTTCATCCTGCTTGACACCAAAGCATCAGTCAACCTGGGCTGAAGTGGTGGTCCGTGGCTGCAAGAGAGGCTCGGATGGGGCTGCCTCTCCTCCTCCGGCCTCTTCAACCGCTATGCAGCCTTGTCTAATGACTGGTCCAACCAGCGGATACACCTGTGGCTTCGAGTCTCCCTGATACGGATCTCTTTCGGCGCACAGATTCTGCTCAGTCCTGCTCTGGAACCCCACAACCGGCATCTCCTCGTCCCCTTTTCTCCCCAACCACACTAATAATTGGTGACTCCATAACCAGAAACATCCGTTTCTTTAACGCTACCACTCACTGCTTCCCCGGTGCCACCACAGCTGACATTTAAAAAAAAACTCCAGGACCTGATGCTGTCGCTCCCGTCCTCCATCACAAGAGTGATAGTCCATGTCGGAACAAATGACACAGCTCTTCGGCAGTCTGAGCTGACAAAATCAGATTTTAACCGTCTTTTTAACTTTTTAAAGCAGTGTGGAAAGTCCGTTTTTATCTCTGGTCCCATTCCCACAGTTGGTCGGGTGCTGGCCGCTTCAGTAGACTCCTTGGCCTCCACGACTGGCTCCAGTCCGCCTGCAGGGCTCATCGTGTGTGTTATGTGGATAATTTTAATATTTTCTGGCAAAGAATGTCTCTTTTTAAGACAGACGGACTTCACCCAAACAAAACGGGGCTCAGAAATGTTAGCTGCGCACATACAGCATGTGGTGCGGTCCACACATGATTTACGTGAATGACTAATCATTCATGCAGCACACCTGGACGCACCACCGGTCACTGAACAGATCTCTGGCTCACTGCCACAAACAACTGTCTCCACCTGCTGGCATGTAGAGCCCAGCGCTGTTCCAAAGACTTCTATTCCTGTCGTCATCAGGCATAGACCAGTAAACCGAAATGTGCACATCCCACACAGAAATATTAGTAATCTCTTAAGGATTAGGACAACTGCACCAACTCCAGCACCCAGAACAAACTCATTTAAAATGGCTCTCTTCAATGTGAGATCACTTTCAAGTAAGACTTTTATCTTAAATGATTTTATCTTGTCTGCAAATCTAGATTTTATGTTTTTAACTGAATCCTGGTTGCAGATGAATGACTATAGCCAGCTAGCTGAACTGTGTCCGCCTCAATATGATTGTTTTAGTCAACCGAGGGTCAGTGGTCGTGGTGGTGGGCTAGTGAGCGTGTATAGGAAAAATTTTAAATGTCATCAAGTACGCTGTGATGAATTTAACTCCTTTGAAGTTCTCACTCTTAAAGTTGGAGGGCTGCAACCTATCATATTTGTTATAATTTATCGCCCCCCAAAACCGCCTGGAGGATTTTTATCAGAACTTCCTGAATTTTTATCTACTCTGGTTCTGTTCTTTGTGGCGATTTTAATATTCATGTTGATGACCCCCACAATGTTAATGCAACTATCTTTTAAGTATGGCGACTTCTTTTAACTTCAAACAACATGTCAAAGGGCAAACACATAACCGTGGTCATACACTGGACTTGGTTTTTACCCTGGGTTTCAGCATTTCCTCTGTGGAATTGGTGGACATGACCATATCTGACCACAGATGTATTGTTTTTAGCTGCGATTCGCCTGTTACTCATGCCGCCTCACCAAGCTCCGTGTGTTCTCGCATCTTTAATGAACAAAGTGTTTCAAAGTTTTGCGCATTCTTTCAGAGCCAAAGCCAACACCTGTCTGATTCCAACACCAACAATCTGGTCGCTCACTTCAATCATATCTGCTTGTCGTCACTAAATATTACTGCTCCTCTAAAGGTTAGGCCTACGTCTAAAGCTAATAAGCAACCCTGGATAAATGACAGCATTCGCAGCCTAAAAAGGGAATGCAGCAAAGCAGAGCGCAGATGGAAAAAATCCAAGTCCATTACCTCAGTCTGAAGGATTTATTAATTAACTACAATAACATGGTTAAGGATGCGAGAACACACTATTTTTCTGAACTCATTCCTACACATAAACACAATCCCAGGTTTCTGTTTAAGACTGTGGATCAGCTGGTAAACCCAACCCCTCCTTGTGCCTCAGCTGGAAGTAATGATGACTGTGAATTGTTTTTATCTTATTTTACCAATAAGGTGGTGTCAATCAGAGCCTCTATTACCCCCGTGGCCTCTTACTCAGAGGTTAGCCTCACCAGCAACAAGAGAGTTTTAACCAGTTTTATCCCATCGACTTGTCTGAGCTTTTAAAAACAGTATCACAATTGAGAGTGTCCTCCAGCCCACTTGATGTAATACCTACAAAATTTTTACTGAAAGTAATAGATTCTGTTGGGCCCCATTTGATCTCTGTTTTCAACAGCTCCCTATCTACTGGTTGTTTCCCTGATTATTTTAAAACGGCTTGCGTGAACCCACTTTTAAAGAAACCTGGTTTAGATCCCTCCCTCCCACATAATTTTAGACCAATTTCAAAACTGCCTTTTATTGCAAAGATTCTAGAAAGAATTGTGTCCAAACAGCTGCTCACTGTACTGGAAAATAACAAATTATTTGAAAAATTTCAGTCTGGTTTTAGGAAGTACCACAGCACTGAGACTGCCCTGCTTAAAGTCACCAATGACCTTTTAATGTCTGCTGATGAAGGTATGTGCTCAGTCCTGGTACTCCTGGACCTTAGCGCTGCTTTTGACACCATTGATCACAACATCATGTTAGACAGACTGAGGCACTGGGTGGGGATCTCTGGTACTGCCTTAGAATGGTTTTCATCCTACCTGTCAAATAGGAAGTTTTGTGTGTCTGTAAACAACTATGTCTCCTCTTTCTGTCCAGTTAAATATGGTGTGCCTCAGGGGTCGGTCTTAGGACCCATTTTGTTTTCCTTGTATCTGCTTCCCCTTGGACATATTATCCATAAACATGGCATTTCTTTTCATATTTATGCTGATGACACACAAATATACTTGCCCGTCAGATCCACAGGCCCTGGAATGCTGAGTTCGCTTAACAACTGCCTTTGTGAAGTTAAAAAATGGATGTCAAATAATTTCCTCCAGCTGAACTCAGACAAAACAGAAATCCTGGTCATCGGGTCTCAGCAGATGGCAAATCAAATACTGCCTTCTGCTGGTTCCCTAGTAAATCACATTAAGCCTGTGGCAAAGAACCTTGGTGTTTGGTTTGATAGTAATTTAAATTTCGAGCAGCACACCACAAAGCTTGTTCAATCATGTTTTTATCAACTTAGAAATATAGCAAAAATTCAATCTATGTTAACTTTTAAGGACACCGAGACCATTTTACACGCCTTCCTCTCATCACGCCTGGATTATTGCAACAGCCTTTTCACCTGTTTAACCCAAAAATCTATTGATTGACTCCAGACTGTCCAGAACTCAGCTGCCAGGCTTTTAACCAGAACAAAGAAATATGACCACATTACTCTTATTTTAGCTTCATTACACTGGCTCCCAGTATGTTTTAGAATTGACTTTAAAATTCTATTGATCACTTTTAAAGCTCTTCATAGCCTCTTGCCTTGTTATATTTCTGACCTTTTAGTCCCATACGCACCAGCACGTACCTTGAGATCCTCGGGCAGAGGTCTGTTGTCTGTTCCAGAGTCTCGACTGAAAACTAAAGGGGACAGAGCGTTTGCTGTCAGGGCCCCGAGGCTCTGGAACAGCCTGCCCGAGGAAATCAGGTCTGTGAAGGACCACTAACCACATTCTTATTAGAAATTTATTAAAATTTTTATTCCATTATTTCACACATTAACTTTTGTTATGGAGACAAAGAAAGACTACAGAGTAGGAGGGTCTGTCAATAAGAAACACTTCTCATTTATCATCATTTCCATTCAGTTACGTGAGGCCGATAATTCCTGAGCATTGACTTTGATACGAGTTAAATCATTTCAAAATATCCCTGAAATCTTTACACCCAGCAGCCATGACCTTATGAACATTAGGTTTCCCTTTTTACTGCCAAAACAGGCCTGACCTGTCGAGGCATAGACTCCACTGTGTCTGCACTGTTTGTTCTGACACCTATCTATCAGAATCAGTGGAAATTGTCCTACATTAGCTCGTCTGTAGCATTGGACCCCATGGGTCAGCCTTTACACCCCACATGCATCATTGAGCCTTCGCCATCCATGACCCTGTCACTGGTTACTGCTTTTCCTTCCTTGGACCACATGTGATAGGTACTGACCATAGGTGCAGACTGTTTTGGAGATGCTCTGACCCAGTCGTATAGCCATCACAATTTGTGCTAGTAGAAATGATTCCTGTGTCTCTGAGGAGTACAT